ATTTTATGACCAATTCATGCAAAACTTCACATAATCCCAAGGGGTTCACATACTTTTTCTTGCAACTGTATGTATAAAGCTAGTGAATACTGAAATCACCATACATTTCCACCAGGTGGAATTGTTACATGGATATAGGGTATATTTCAGGCAATCCTGAGACATACCAGGTAATGTGTAATATTAAACATTGTAATGTTTAATGTTTAAAAGACATACCAGGTAATGTGTAAAAATATCACTGCATTTTAAATTTATTCTGAAACCATTTAGTTTTCTGCATGAGTTTGAAGGGCGAGGAAAAATCAAGAGATACTTGGATTAAAATAGGCTAGGGCAGGGGTCTTCAAACTTGGCAACTTGAAGACTTGTGGACTTCAACTCCCAGAATTCTCCAGCCAGCTGAGCTGGAATTCTGAGAGTTGAAGTCCACAAGTCTTCAAATTGCCAAGTTTGAAGACCTCTGGGCTAGGGGAATGTATGGATCAGAAAAGTGCTTTGCAACAATATTCAGGCTACAGGTAGTTCCTCGATTTATAACCATTCATTTAGTGACTGTTCAAACTTACAATGGTGCTGAAAAACTGACTTATGACTGTTTTTCATCCTTATGACCATTGCAGCATCCCCACAGTCACCTGATCAAAATCCGGTCACCTGGCAACTAATATGTATTTATGACAATGGCAATGTCCCAGGATCATGTGATCACTTTTTGCAATATTTTTGGAGAAGCAAAGTCAACAAAGTGAAGTCAGATTCACTAAACCGTGTTACTAATTCAACAACTTGCAATGATTCATTTAACAACTGTTGCCCAGAAAAGCCAGAAAATGAAGCAAAACTCACTTAACAACTGTGTTGCTTAGCAACAGAAATTTTGGGCTCAGTTATGGTTGTAAGTTAACAACTACTTGTATATTGTTACCCACCCAGATTCTGTTAGAATTGGGGTAGATTATAAATATTGATAATAAAAATGTAAAGCATTGATTTTCTCTGCAGGGCCACTGATTTGGTGAATTTCCCACTGATTCCCTATCCACTTTTGTATTACAGTTCCTCAACTACAGAAACAACCCCCCCCCACCACCACCACCACCAAGATACCATAATTCTCTATTTCTTGGGAGTTTTTTTCTATCACCACACTGCCCTCTTGTGGTATGCCATCACATTATTTGAAACAGCTGCTTGAGAAAGTGTCAAGGCATGTTCACGTGTTCAACTACAGCTACTAGTGCTGAAGATTGGGTTGGCTAAGCATTACCCAGTAGAAAGAGAGCCTTTTCATTTTATCTACCATAATCAATCCAATTTCCCCTGCAGTGAAAGTGTAGGATTGATGTTATTATCTGGTCTGAACAGGTAATTTCTGAAAATTGCCACTGCTTTACTGACTTTTTTGGTACAGTCTAAGATCTATTTTATTCTGAAGGTCTTTCCCCCCCCCCCGCCCCTTTTTTTAAATGGCATGCTCACCTCTCAGTGACTTCTTGGACTAGAATAAGAGGGTTGAAAAGAATCTTGGAGGTCTTCTAGTTCAACCCCTGGCCAAGGCAGAAATCCTCATACTTTTTTTGGACACATTTCTTGAAAATCTCTAGTGAAGGAGCAGCCACAACTCAAGGAAGCAAACTATTCCATTGCTAAATAGTTCTGTCAGGATATTCCTCCATATTTCCTGGTTGGATTTCTCTCTGACAAGCATCCACTGCTTTCCTTATCCTCTGGTGCTATGGAGAATAAATCGACACTCTTTCCTGTGGCAGCCCATCTAACTATCACGTCTTCCCTTAGTCTTCTTTAAGCTAAGCATACATAGTTCCTTTACAAGTTCTTCATAGGATTTGAGAGTCTAGACCACCTAACATCCTTATTGCTCTTCTCAACTTGATAGGGTCTCGCCATCTCTTTTTTATGGTGTGTGTGACTGAACTGGATACACTATTCCAAATGCGCTCACCAGTGTGGCATAGAGCTATCACTATATGTAGTTCTCATAGCAGCAACAGGAAAATGGACTCACACTGGCTTCTAAGGAGATAATGACTCCTCTCTCTAATCTTGTATTGTAGCTTTCTGAAGTCGTCTACTTAAATCTGAGCAAGATCCAATTCTACCCAACTTTCTCAAGTTCAGCTAGTCTGGGACGAGCAGTTGCCTATCCTGGCAAAAGTCAGGCTTTAAATAGGAATGGTTAACATCATTTGTAAGATGAGAAAGGAAACTGCTGGGAGTAGAGTGTATTTATTACATTTGTATGCTGCCTGACTTAGCTACTTACAGAGGAAATATGGCTGTTCTTGCCAGTCTTCAACATTACTGACCACCTTACACACACACCTCCAGCCCCTCTGCCTCTTCCCAGATTCACTCGGTTTTTAAAAAAACTCACAGCCTGTGCACAGCACACACTCTTCCAGCCCTTCTGCCTCTTCCCTCTTCCTGGATTCATTCATTTTAAAAACTCACAACCTGTGCACACACAAGGCATTTTTAAAACCCACAGCCTGTGCACAGCACACACACTTCCATCCCGTCCCTCTTCCCTCTTCCTGGATTCACTCAGACGTTTTTAAGACTCACAACCTGTGCACACGAACACTCTTCCATCCCCTCTGCCTCTTCCTGGATTCAGTCAGACGTTTTAAGACTCACAACCTGTGCACATGCACACACTTCCATCCCTTCTGCCTCTTCCCTCTTCCTGGATTCACTCAGACATTTTAAAAACTCACAGCCTGTGTAGACACAAGGCATTTTTAAAACCCACAGCCTGTGCACACGCACACTCTTCTAACAGCTCCTCTGCCTCTTCCCTCTTGCCCAACATCCTCTCCCCCATAGCCACTCACCAGTTCTTTCTTCTTTTAGTTCTTCTGAGAACTTTTCGGCAGCATGGCGAGGATGGGCGGGGCAAAAGAGCGAATGAGGGGAGCGTTCCAGTATGGAGCCTCCTGACCAATGAGTACAGGAAGGCACACTAAATCGCACCATCCAGTACAGCTGTACCAGTTGAAATCCACCCGACGCCAACAGGTGTAAGCGAGGTGGAAATATTTCTCATTTATCTTCTAGCTCCTTCAACTTAGATTCTGTTGACACTGCACTGACAATCCAGGCAGGTTTGGGATCTGGCAAAGCATCCTCCAGCATTTTTATTTATAAGAAATTCTCTAGGCCTTGCATAAAACCTTGTAGATATGGATATGGAAAATATGTCCACCTTTATGGGGAGGGACAGAAGGTAACCTAGAACTTCCTGGGGAAAACAGAATGCAATTCAAGTTGCCTTCTGATAGAATAGTTGTTCTGACTTTTAATGTTTAATATACCAGCCATTTTGTGTTAGGGCATCTTCTTATAGCAGCCATTTTGTGAGAGTATCCTTCAAATGCTTTAAAAATCCTAAATGTGCCCAACAGGCCAAATTACCACATTAGATTATTCCTTTTCACAGACACTGGTAGCTATTTATGTAGTGTTTTCATTTAGAGAAAATAATGTACTTAATTTTAAAATAAAAACTCTGAAACTATCTACCAGCAAATAAGATTTTCTCTTAATCTGAAGAATTCTCCTCAAGATAATAGCAAAAGAAAAGTTAACCAGACATTCAACCCCCTTCTGGCCAATACTTTGTTATTGCATATAGCAGATTTTTAATCAAGTCTGTGGTAGCTTGTGAAGCATGATTGATCGGCTTCATGTCAGTGGGTGGTATGGTTATGCAGTTTGGTCAAGCATCATTCAAGAACCAGTTGGTGGTTAAAGGCAGGTTTGAAATTGAGAACTCGTCCTTAGTGCCCCCCCACCCAAGCTAACTGTGTGGCTATGGGCTAGTCTCTTTCTCTCCACCCTAGGAAAAAGGCAATGGCAAAGCACCTCCAAATAGAATAGGTCAAAAGCTGATATGGAAAACGGAAAATTCAACTACTCTGAAAGAAGATGGGGAAAAACCCCGTCTCTACTGAGAACCACAGCAACACACTGCAACCTGCTCTCCATTTTCTCACAACTACACACATGCTTTAACACAAGTAGATGTTACTGTGAACTGATCTTTAAAAGTATTCAAATGGATAATTTTTCTCCTTTTGTGTAAGTACTGTCTGGTGAAAGAAATCCATCCCTTAAAAAAGAAAACAAACATAGCAGTATCAGAATGAATTTTGGACCTGATTTTATTTGATAAAGATGTGAATCACAAGGCAACCGAAGTTACATAGATGAAGTATCACAGCACTTGCAAAAGTCCTGTGACCCATCTATTCCTGAGATGAGATGTTCAATAGGGAACAAGGAATGGAAAAGTAAGTCAGAAATGAAAAATGGAAGAGCCAGGGATTTTTTATATATAAGGCATGACACAGACCCATCAGAAACTTAACAGCAATAATTTGATCTACTTAAAAAAATCAGCCTGGATAAGAGAAAATTGCAAAACGCAACCCTCTTTGTTTCTCCCATCTAAACATCTGATCCATCAGGATGGGATTAAGTATCTAAGGGAACGCCATTCAATAATGCCGCTTCCTATTGTTGATATTCTCAGAAAAATGGGGCCATATTAGCTAGAAAAGGTCCTTCAGGGAGGGATGAGTTGGGAAGTTGACAAGGGTGAGGATGACAACTAAAAAGAAATCCCAAGAGAATATTTATGGGCCTCAAAGGTACAGTATCCAAAAGCCCAGAATTCTCATTCTGTCAGTCATCTGCATGGTTCAAGGAGGCAATCAATGTTTCATTACTTGAATTACTTGTTCGTTACTTTTGTTTGATGAGAAGACTGTCGCTGGAAGAGAAACAAAGACATAACAAAGAACTGTGAGAAATGTACCACAATATGGGCTTGGAGACCAAGCATGAAATCAAGCCTTAATTTTTATGATTAACACAGAACAAGAGTAATTAAGGATTTAAACATATATATGTAATTTGGTGGATTAATTCTTTGAGACAGAAAAGCATATTTGTCCTACGCTGTTGTTTAATTTCTATAACATTTTGTAATTGTTGTTTAGATATAGAAATTCTGTATTTTTTCTATTTTTCTTCAGCCTGCTCCATGATGGGAGTAAAGGTAAATTAACTCATAACTTTGGGTAACTGGTTTCATTAAGGGAAGAAAGACAATGATGTCCAATGTCTGAGAAATTTACTCAGAATCCTTTTCTAACCTAACCTTGCCTGACTGACTCATAGTCATTTAAATGGAAAATGCTAAGAATGGAACCACTAGAAAACCTTCCTTTTCTTTTTTTTAAATTTCATTTATGGAAGACTATAACAAGCTGTTCTTGAACATATTCCTTCCAATTTTTTCAACATTTTGTCCTAATGTCATAATCATTGCATCATCATTAGCAATGTTATATGCAACTTGACTTTTAACAAATCTGGGTGGTTTATAAATCATTAAACGCTATTAAAAAGAAAGAAAACCCCAAATGAAACATAAAGGTAGCAGCTTACTATATTAATGAATACATGTTTTATATAAAAGATTCTTCTTAAATATAGTACGGGCACATAACATTTCAAACTACATTCTAAACTACATATCTTTTTTAAGATAAATGTTGAGATCTGCTCAATTCATATGAAGATGCCAAACTATGGGTCCTTCTTCTGTACTTTTATGAACACCTAGATGCTAAGAAACTATTAACGGAACTGGATCACCAGCTAAAGGTTGCTGTCATAGATGTTCTGGGAAGCTATATCTAGTTTGTTCATTTTGGCATTTCACTTTCTACAGTTTGAAAGCAAGTACAATAACTTTGTAATAATATTAGGCTGGAGAAAAGAAAGCTTTGAATTCACAAATGTATTGTACTTTGGAGATGACAATGACATTTCTGTACCCTGGATGGAGTGCTTGGTCAAGCTGGACACAGAGCAACTTTCCATCCAGTTTCAGCTGAAAAGCACTTTCTATTTTCAGCAGAAGAAAAAGGAAGAGTGGAGGCTTTATCTCCTCTTGACTCCAGTATTTGTTGGTTCAAGATTTCTCGGTAGAAATAAAAAAGCATGTGGACCTTAACATTTTTTCATAAAGTGACTTTCTCAAGGGAGAATCAAAAGTTGGGATCAGAAAAATAGCCAGCCTGGGTGGGAAAAAACTAAGCAAAACCCATCTAGACAACTCTTATTAAATTCACAGGCCCTGTGGTTGCCTATAAAAGCTAGAATTGAGCAACTGTGGGAGACTGTTCATGCACCAGGGAGTTTAACCTAACAAGGTTCCACAATCTACAAAGAGCCCAAACTTATTCTTATGTAGGTTCTTTTTCTAAACTGTAAAATCTCATTAAACAGCTATACAGACATACTGATCAAGAGAAGCCAATCCCATTTCATACTTTCTGTGGGCTTCTCTCCTCACCACTATAATTCCCAGTACTCTAAATGACTCCATATTTGCCATAGTTCTGTTTTACATCTCTCAAAATCTAGGAAGATAATTCATCAAGACTTAACTAATTAAGGTTTAATTAGTTGTGTATGGACACACATAAAGACATCAGAGGAAAAAAGCACCATTTCAGTTGATGCCTTCTCAGAACAAGAACTTCTTTTTCACTCTCACAAGAGTGGGACTGTGTATTCCAAACAGCAGATGCTGCAATATCTACCGCCTACAGCTTTTATAAATATAACACATAGCGTTACCAAATGAATCAGAAATAACTTCAAGTCATTTTCTCAAATTAAAGAATGTATGAAATAATGTTGTGTCTTACCTTCCTCTGGATCCGGATCAACACATAATAGCACCAGAAGAGAGAGGACAGAGGGAAAAAAAGGATTAGAAAAATTTACAATGCCTGCTGCACCTCCATGTTATGACATGTTTGGGGAACTGAATCTCCCTTATGCTACATGCAGAGAGCAAGATATATTATTTGCTCTTCTTCAAACAAGCACCATAAAATAAACAGCTTCCTAGTCCCCATCCCACCACTTTTCCAGAGGAACTGAAGTCTTCTTAACTTTTTCTAAATAATCTTAAACTACAACTCATCACTGGGGAAAAGTCTGTAGATCAGCTACTTGGATATTCACAAGCCACTCACCTTGTAAAACCTTCATCCTGTAGATTAAGCACTAAATTGTCAGCTGTAAGATACACACGGTTTTGAGACGATGCAATCTGTAAAAGTTCAGTGGATAAAAAAGGCAGTTAGCAAAGATCCTGAAATACATTGGTGGGGGAGGGGGGCTGGCAGAAACATACCTAAGCACAGAAGTTTCTTTCAATATTTAGAGGATCCTACCCTAATTTCATCCCCCCCCCCCCAGGGATTTGCAGTTTTACTTCCCATGATCCCCTTCAAGCATGGTGCAGGAACATACTGAAGTGTAGTGTATCCAGAATGGAGTGGATTGGGAAAGACTGATGTAATAGCAACTAAACTATGAGTCACCATGCACAAGAAAAAAAGCAAGATCTCCATAGAAGCATGCTACGACAAAATTATCTCTTCCCTTTTGAAATTAATTCTTTTGATGTCCTCAGTATGGGCTCTGTTTGATCAGATCCCAGAACAGACAATGGGCATGGAATTTTAATTTGTTTCCTGTCACAAATTTCAGATAGATCCAGGTCCATCAGTACTCCAAATGCCCAAATTCATTCTGCTTCTCCATCTGTTTTTGTTCCTGCTGTGAGGCTTTTCCTAGTGTGTGACACATGTTCTGCAAGTGACCACAACTGGATATAGCCCACTGAAATGATGTCAGCCTGCTCTCACAACAAGAATCAAAGTCTTCTTGGTTCTTGCTAAGATGGGGAGATCAGCAGGCTCTGATGGCAAAAATGAACATCAGGAGAAGCATATCATATTCGCCTTGGATTCATCACTTGGCCTGGTACAATGCAAAAGCAGCAGCTGAGGGTGGACGTGTGTGTGTGTGTGTGTGTGTGTCATGGTGGATTCCGGATCCCATTCCAACTGGTACAGTTAGAACGGGCCCAGTGTTGCCTACATGGATGTGCATGGCGCGCGCATGCATCGTACCTACCAGCAAGGCCTCTGCAAGCTTCCGCGACGCTCCAGCTGCTTGGCGGAGCGTCACGCAGGTGCTGTATGCGGCTTGCGCATGCACGTAAGCACCAAAGGCTTTAAAGAACAGGTAAGGAGCTTGGGCTGGCAGGTGGGCCCTCCGGAGCACTGTACCGGAACAGTACCTGGTGCACCAGGCAGGCTCTGGTACGCCTGTACCGGGGCGTACCACCTGCAACACACCACTGGTGTGTGTATACATACATACATACATAAAAGCGAATCCACTAGTCTAATACTCACCGTTTTGGAGATATTCTGGGCAGCACGGATCTTGCGCAGCTTGATGTAACCTGGGTTCTTGCTGAGGGCTTCTCCAATTTGAGTAATCAGTTAAGGTTACATTTCTTAAAAGTTTTGAACTCAGGCCCCTTTTGCCACCCCATCAGCTATGTTTAAGCTCCATCACTTTACCCGAAACCACGCTATGTGAAGATTAGCGTGCTCTTGCATTCTACTGCTGCATCCAAAGTGCCTGAAACCTATAGCAATCTTTCCCTCTCACATCAAAGCAAGGATATCATTTTAGCAGCTGTGGCTTCACCTTCAGCCTGAACAATCTTCTGCCTTTGTTCTTGCTTTGCTTTTTCCACAAGGAATTGTGCTCTCTGAGCCTCCTGTTGGGCTAGAATAGAGAAAAATTAGCATCTTGGCAAGAACCAAAGTCATGTAATACACATGTGGAAATGCCAGATGTTGTTAATTACTTATGGTATTTATTATAGATTCAGTCACAAATAAATTACTGGACTTTTCAGCTTGGAAAGCCAAATGTAAATCTCTAGCTTTTTAGATAGTCTTTAATTTTATATTCTGCCTTTATTATTTTTATAAACAACTCCCGCTAGTGAATTTATCTAATATTCCTATTTTCCTCACAATCCTGTGAGGTAAATTAGACTGACGGTCAGCGACAGCCACAATGTCACCCAGCTAGTATTACAATGGATTACATGATATTACAATAAATACATAAATATTTATTCTTTATTTGAAATAGGTCTCCCCAAACTCTTCAACGGCTTCATAAAGTTTTAGATTTTCATCAACCCCCAAATATTTATATGAAAATAATACTGAACTAATAATACTACAAAAAAGAAAACACAGATAGGTGAATAAAAATACCAAAGTCAGTCTAAACATCTTGCTGTGCAATCAAGCATAATAAAAGATAGTGAGATTGACCATTTATAGAATCTCAATTTAAAACAAGAACCAAACCATTTTTCATGCAGAGAGCTAATATAGCATTTGAGTAACATGCTGTACGAAGCATCATTTTAAGAGTCGGATCAGAACACTAAATAGTTATTCAATTCTTCCAATTGCTTTCATCAAATTACAGTATGACTCGCATTAAACTGATCTCACTTTAAAAAATACTTTTAGAATATTCAACTTTAAAATTAACTGATTTACACTTACACCCTGTCTCTTATAAAATTATGTGGGAAGTAAATTCAATTAATGTAATGGTCTCAATATTTCACTCTAGCTCATCTTCAAGTTAAATTGATTTCTTATCAAACAAAATGGAAAAACAACAACCGCTGAGTGATCTGAGATTAAACCACAGATGGTCTTCTGTGGATAATCTGGAATCCAATTCAGCAGACAGGAAGAGCAGGAATTGAGGACAGAGGGGGAAAGTATGTCTGCCACAGAAAGCAAAAGACAAAAGGACCAAAGACAGGAGTTGACATAATATAGGTGGCTTGTGCTACAGTCTGTGGCAAGAGTAAAAACAAATGGTTCAAATGACCACCCAGGCTTGCAGCAAAACCTGTCTGAAAGGATTCTCATCCGAAGCTTCAATAAGATGTATGTGAATCATGGAATAAACAGCCCTCCTTCAGAAAAACAGGCAATTAAAAATGATGTTGAGTGTGCCTTCTAGTGTTCTGGTCAATCTTCTTGCCAGCAGTAACCCATAGGTGGTGTCTGTTCCTATATAACAAAGTAGTATGCTACATAAATATACTTTTGTGCATTTCTGTTCTCTCCTGTTACATCTGTGTGCATCTGTGCACTCAGAAACTCAAGGTGGACTGCATACACCCTATTTTGGATCGTAACAGGAGAATTGGTTAGTACAGAACTTACCAATATTTTGAGCAGCTGCCCACCTGCCTCTCATGTGTTGAAAGAATTTTTCAGGAATGTTTTTCCCTGCAGCCCTTTGTTAACATGACCTTATTTTCAAACCCAGTCTTCTTTTTTCTGGTTTCTCCAGCTGTTAGAGTTTCCTTTAACTTAAGCACCAACTCACCCACTTGCTTGGCTTCAACTGCTGCTGTGTATTCTCGGCTAAAACTCAATTCTGTGATAGCTACATCATCCAATATAAGGCTAAAATCCTTTGCTCGCTCTGTCAGGTCCCGTCGAATAAGCAAAGATACCTGAAAAAATAAACCTATAGTTCTTACTCAAGGAATTTCCCTTTGCCCAGAAAAAGTCACAAAGTCATAGAATCATGTTGCTGAAGTAGCCATTTAAATCCTTGTACTATCCCTTTGGTAGAAGCTATACCCTCATGCTCCAACACATCTCAGCAAGAGGATTCCATCACCTGTCTGATTTGATTCTACTGTTAAATTGCTCTTATCATTTGATATTTAAATATAATATACCTTCCTCTAATTTTGGATAGTGGGATGGACAACATTTAAATCGAATAAATAAACTTAAAAAGCCATAAACCAGAACTGTCCTTTAAAGTGTTTTTTTCTCAATGTCAGCTTTTCAGATATCAGAAAGGTGCTATCATATCCCCTTCACTTTTCTCTTTTAAAGACTAAATGTTAGATATCATTTCAGTCTTTTTATAATACCTTGTTTCTAATTACCCACTGGTCCTCATTGCCTTTTCCTGACCTTATTTGTTTTGTAAATTCTTACCTTAAGAATAAGTTTTTCTAAATCGATGGCCATAATTCTTAAATAACTTGGCTTAATGCTGGATTTTCAAGATGACTGCTGCATAGTAAGTTCCTTTTTTCTCTTACCGATGATGTGCTAATTTCACTGCTAAAGTTATTCTTTGGCAGTACTGCTCCCTGATTTTGAACAGGAGCACTTAGAAGTGAGCCAAGAAAACTTTTGAACGATAGTTGACTCAATGGGCAAGGAGGATCTTGAAGATTTTAATTCCCCCTGGAAGCGATCAAAAAGTCATTGGGTGTATCCATCTTCCTTTCAAGCAGCTTCGTTTTGTAACCACACTGGAACATTAACTTTCACTTTTTGACTTGTTTTATTTTATTTATTCTTTTAAACGTTAACGGTTGGGTGTTGATTTATTTCAACCCCTTGATGAACTCTTAATTGCTTTTTCTCTCTCTTTTCTTTAGATATATGTTGTTCTTGGATAACTTCTGTCCCTTCCATATGGAAAACACCACGTTTAGCTGGGGGTTGAAGAGTTCTCAGACTCTCACCACTGGTTTCTGTATTTTGTGAATTTGCAAAGCACCTGGAGTTTTATTTCCACTGAATTTTTCTTATAATCTTGGATGGAAATATAAAGGCAAACATACTTGTTCCTTGGCTAAGTTTCAAAGATTAAGATGGCTGAACAATTTCTAAAACCTAAGAAAACAGGATGGGGAGATGTGAAGCTCCTAGCTGGATTCCTCTCGAAAACATGACAAATTTTTATAATTGTTAAAAGAATATTAATATCTAAAGCAGTGTTTCTCAACCTTGGCAATTTGAAGATGTCCGGACTTCAACTCCCAGAATTCCCCAGCCAGCATTCGCTGGCTGGGGAATTCTGGGAGCCGAAGTCCACAGGACTTAAAGTCGCCAAGGTTGAGAAACACTGCTTTAGATATCCTCTCTCCTTTTAAGTCTAGCTTCACCCTTGCATAGTTGTGATGTTTCAAACTGGCCCATTTAAATCTTGCTTAAAATACCTGCCTCTCAAGAGCTTGAACATAACATTCATTTTTGCACTCTGCTGGCCTTTTTGCAACGGCGAGCGTTGATTCTAAAGCTGCGGCAAGAAGTAATTCACTTGATTAAGTGAGATTCCTG